CAGAGTCCCCCTGCTCCCACCAGGCAGCCTGGCCCAAGGGACGATGGAAAAGGAAGGTCCCCCTTTCCAGAGGAGAGGGACAAAGGGACCAGGCCATGCCCAGGACGCCTTCCCCTCCTCCCTGGGCGGGCAGCCCCTCCTTGCTCCAGTAGTTATAAAAGGGCTCTCAATCCATGTAATCCATTAGATACAAATTACAGCAATTTAAGCACACTTGACCCAGAATTACAGCAAGCCCATAAAGAGCTGTGTCTTCCCAGGCAATTTACACTGTTACAAGCCCTCAAACAAACCACAGCAGAGGATTGAAAAACAACAACAACAGAAAACAACAAAAAACCAAACCAAACCCAGAAAAACATGATGCTTGAAACAGCATTATCAAGAAATGAAAACCATTACTGCGGTTGGTTCCCGTTCAGGTGGTCCTAAAACCACCAGCACTGCACAATCTCTAACCAGCGTGTGTCTTGCAGCTACCTTAAACCACTAAATCACAGCCGCTTGAAAGAAGCTGCCATGAAGCGCAGCACTACGTAATCATTTTGGATGGGGACCGCAGCCCCCAGCCCAGGGGACACAGGCTGCGCACACCCCCGGGGGGACCGCAGCCCCCAGCCCAGGGGACACAGGCTGCTCACCCTCCCGGGGTGGCTCCTAGCAGCGAGTCCCCCCTGGAGCAGCTCAGGTCAGCACGGATCCCATCAGCAATGTTTGTGCATCCATTTTCACTTCCTTCTATGCCTCTGTTTATTTATTTTTAAATTACTACGAGCCCTACAGGCCGCCCTCCCACCAGCCCTGCAGGTATCACAGTATTGACTGATGGACCACTGCAGGCAGGGGGCCCCTGGCCATCACAGCAGGCAGAGACTTGAGGCAGCAACACTGCAGTTATCCTAGATACTCAGCCTGCCTCATACGGAAAAATAAAACCATTGGCATGGAAAAAAGAAAGTGCAAGTTAATTTCTTCCAACAGTCAGAGATGGATTTATCCAGGCTCAGGTTTCCTGCAGCAGCCATGCCCACCAGCTTCCACACCCTCAATCCTCAGGGTCCCCAGGATGCTCCAGGGCCACCTGCGCCAGCAGGACCTGGGTGTCTGCTGCTCCTGGCTGTGGAGACACGCTGGTGGCAGGGCCTTTCCCGGGGACAAGAAGAAAAGCTGTAGGTTTGTGCTGCGAAATGAAGGGCAGGAGCAGGGCAGCAGCCCGCGGTGCCGGCTGTCACTGATCTGGTTGCCGGCGTCACCATGGGGAGACACTGCCACATTCACACCAGGGGGCTGCATGAAGGTAGGAGGGATGAGGGTGGCTCTGGGGGGAGGGCGACAAACAGGACCAGCAGTTACTGGGGGACACATGGTAACTAAAAGCACCCAAACAGATGGAAGGGATTTGTATGTGCCTCGCTCCAGAATGTCTGACACCAGATGCATGAGGAAGGAGACAGGACCGCGCCGGAGGTCTCGCCTGGTCCGGCAAGTCTTGCATCCAGCAAAAGCAATTAGAGGATGGCGATGGAAACTTCAACACCATCAGGTCTAAGAAATGACCAACGTACTGAGAGGTTGCACCTTCCAGAGTTAATACACTGCCTTGCCCATGAGGACAAAAGCCAGGCTGGCTCAGCGGGGGGAGGGGGGGGCAGGACCAGGATGCTGCCCTGGGGGCAGGGGAGGACTCCTCTTGCTGCCCTGGTCATTTGTCCCCAGAGGGCCACACCACCCATCATGGGACAAAACGAGAGACTCTGATTACAAGCATCTCATTTTTTCCTCTCCTTTTCCCCCTTCATTGCCACCAGAAGTGTAAACACAGGGGCCGGTCCACTGGAGAATCCCAGAGCAGCTTCGGCGTGCGTGCCGTCTGCGAGGCTGCCGCAGCACGGAGCTGTAGGCTTAGAGCGAGGGAGGCACAGAGCTGTTAGATCAGGTCCTTTCAAGGGCTGTATTTTTTTATTCCAACTCTTTGGGAGACAGCACCTCACATGCCACCAAGAACACCACCTCTGCAGTTCAAGCTTGTTACCATTTCCAGTAATCTTAATTATTAATTCTATGTATGGCAGTTTTTCTTTAAAACACGGTCGCAATGGCAGCAGTTATGCAAAAAAAAAAAAAAAAAGAAATACTTGAAGGAAGGGAGCACATGCCTTCCTCAAAGCCAGCAGCATGCCTCGTCCCTACCCGTATGGTTTAGTTTACAAGCTCATGTCAGAGAGACAATTTCACACACAAACACAAAATAAAAGTAGGAACACGACTTTTGATCGTCCTACATCGGTGTTTACTCTCGTTTCCTGTAGCCCCCGGTGACAAATCTGTCCTTTATATAGCGGAGGACCGTTGCGCTATTAACAAAGTCAACTGGACACATTTAAAACTCCTGGCAGGTCTTTGCATTGGTGGCTTGTACCAAACTAAGGAATAATAGTAAGCAATTAGATGTAAAACGATAAATATAGATTCAGAAACTTTTTTTTTTTCTGAGCAGAAACGCTGGAAAGCAGGAGAATTTACAAGCAACTTTCTTACATATGAACACTTACGCCAAGAAGGGAGATGCTGGAGAAGTCAGCCCCTCCAAACACAAGGGCTTTTGTTCCACCATTCTCTGAGCTCTGAAGAATTTTTTTTTTTTTTTTTCTTCATTTAACTTTGCTGGCCTGCCAGCTGGGTGTAAGCCAGAAGGGTTATCCAGTCAGACCTTACTGCGATGTATTTACAATAGTAGTGCATCTAAGGTTTGTTTATTTCAGGATTAAAATTCAAATGGCTAGAACCATTTAAATAATTAAAGGGCAATCAGAAAATGCCATGAAACCAAACAAATCAGGAAAAGTCATGGAAACCATCAGCAATATTTAATTCAGAAATTCTCTTTGTTAGGGAACTTAGCTGAAAGAAAACAGCTGGATGTAGTTCAACCCTCTAAATTAAAAACAATCTAACAAGGTCTATAGGGATAACTCTTTCAGCTACATATTGGAGACCAGATTCACTTCTACCAAGTAAATGTAATAGCACTCAAAGCTAGAAAGGAAATTCCTCAGAACTGAGGTAGTTTCTAAGTATCAGCACATTTTCCAATTCCTCGCAAGGCAACTTAGCTATTTACAATCCATTTTTTCCCACACATAAATTTATAACTTTTTCAATTTTATGCTTCCATGATTTATTTTCTAAAGAAAAATAATCTAGCCAGAATATCCCTACTCTACTAACACCATGTTTTAATAAATAACTGGCTACTTCTAGTAAAATTAAGCCTCCAGGATTGTTTATACCAGCCAAGAATACTCCGTCTTTATAGCTTTGCAGAAATTTGGTGTGAAAATAAAGTTGAATATAACGCTGACCCTGAGGTAACAAGTAATTAATGCTTCAATACAAAAATAGAAAATTATCCTTACAACACAAGGGTGGAATAGAGAAAACCCTCTCTCTCTGGATTGCTTTCCTGGCTGGACCCCAGCATCCAGCCAGACCTAAAGGCTACGTAAAGCAGGAGGAGACGTGCAGAATAATTTTGAGTCTTTCCAAAGACTTTGTTTTCCCTAAACTATTTTAAAAATTATTTCATCTCTTTTCTTAAAAATATACATTTCTGTTATTAATGAGTTGCCATTCACCACGAGGCTGTTCCAACTGCAAAAGCACAGGTAGAGAGAGGAGGGTGTCTCGGGTAGTGCCGAAAAGCTGCGGCCGCTGGGCACTGGCTGCCAGGAGACCGAATGCACCGAAGAGGAGGCGTCTCCAGCCCTGCCAGCTCCTGCCTGCTCCTACGCCGATCTGCCTGCAACAGTGCCGCGGGCCACTGCCCGCCTGCCCCTTCCCTTTTGCCCCCCATCGGAAACAAAACTCTTGCAAAACCAAACCCGGCACCCTCCCCACCTCCCCTCCCACAAAGTATTCCTTAAAAACAAACAAACAAACAAAGAAATTAAAAAAGTAATCCAGCATTCATCTAACAAATTTGCAGACAGGACACATGTTGGCATTTGGATCTGTGACACAACAAGTTGCTTCCAACCGAACAAGTTTAATGCCTTATTCCCCCGGGGGATGCACGGCAGGAACTGACCTAGAGGAGTTACAGCTAATTGCAAGGATCCTGGGGAACAAACGACAACTCTTCTTAGCATCTGCAGAACTGGAATTCTCTGTAGTCTCTTCCAATTTAACCAAACCTCCTGTCAAGAAAGTATAACCTGCTCCCGGCATGAGCGCCCTGCGCGAAGGGGGCACTTGGCACACTGACCAGCTCTGCCTCCACCTTCTGCTTTACCGCATAATAAAGACAAATTACTTCCACTTCTTTCCAGATAAGGCAACTAACATAATGTGGATAAATGGGAAGTTAACTACATGAAACGTTGTCTGGTTGTTGGGCAATTATTTTTTTCCCCCATAAGATAACATGATAAATAAAACCTGCTTCTGTACAGATATTTCTCATTTCAGAAACACATACTTGTTACAGGCCAAGAGAAGACCCTGGGGTTTTTTTTTTTTGTTTTCATAAGAAATATGTTAAAATAAAATAAAAAAAAAAAAAAAAAAAAGGAAA